GCGCGGGAGCCGCAGCGACTTCCCCTCGCTCAGCCCTCCCTCTCCTGGCACGCTAGCTCCCAGAGCCGTCTCCCCCTTCCCGCTGGCTGGTGCTCTGGGGATTTCCCCTTCTGTGCTGTGACTCCTGCCCCTGGGCCCGCTCTGCAGGCCCCAGCCTCCCCCAGGCCAGCCCCGGCTCCTTGTTTGACTTTCCTGCCTCCGCATGGCGGGGAGGGTTTGTGCCTGTGAAGGTTCAGGACTGGAAATACCAGAAATACCAGAAACCAAGTCCTGTCTTTTTAGGCAGCCGCAGCACAAACCGTTTCCCCTTCTGTGCTGTGACTCCTGCCCCTGGGCCCGCTCTGCAGGCCCCAGCCTCCCCCAGGCCAGCCCCGGCTCCTTGTTTGACTTTCCTGCCTCCGCATGGCGGGGAGGGTTTGTGCCTGTGAAGGTTCAGGACTGGAAATACCAGAAATACCAGAAACCAAGTCCTGTCTTTTTAGGCAGCCGCAGCACAAACCGACCAACAGGATCCTGCTATTAACCTCGGTTCCCTGGGAGGTGATTCAGTCCCCGGCTGGCTGGGTCCTAACCAGCCGCAGCTCGGGGGAGCAAGGCCGGAGAGGAGCGGGCAGGGCTCTGCTCACGATGGTCCTCATGCGACCCTGGGCCTCGTGCCCTGAGTGTACCAGTAGCCCGGCCCAGCCCTTCAGAGCGGCTCCCTTTCGCCTCCAGGACGTGTTCTGAGACAGGGGCGTGTTCTGCCCTCGGCGCCCTGGCTTCAGCGGGTGGCAGGAGCCAGGGAATTGTGTGGTGCGAGATTTAATTGCCAACCCCAGGCCCCCAGTCGTCACACACGCAGACACTCTCAGTGCAAGGGATACAGAGCATGGGCACCCCCCTGCACGCACCTCTCCAATGCGGGATCGGGGGAGCGCCCTCCGCTTTCCCTGCCTTGCTTTCACTGCTTCCCCACCTGTGCACTAACCGTTCCAGTCACTGTGCTCACCGTGCACTATCCGATCCAGTCACTGTGCACTAACCGTTCCAGTCACTGTGCTCACCGTGCACTATCCGATCCAGTCACTGTGCACTAACCGTTCCAGTCACTGTGCTCACCGTGCACTATCCGATCCAGTCACTGTGCACTAACCGTTCCAGTCACTGTGCTCACCGTGCACTATCCGATCCAGTCACTGTGCACTAACCGTTCCAGTCACTGTGCTCACCGTGCACTATCCGATCCAGTCACTGTGCACTAACCGTTCCAGTCACTGTGCTCACCGTGCACTATCCGATCCAGTCACTGTGCACTAACCGTTCCAGTCACTGTGCTCACCGTGCACTATCCGATCCAGTCACTGTGCACTAACCGTTCCAGTCACTGTGCTCACCGTGCACTATCCGATCCAGTCACTGTGCACTAACCGTTCCAGTCACTGTGCTCACCGTGCACTATCCGATCCAGTCACTGTGCACTAACCGTTCCAGTCACTGTGCTCACCGTGCACTATCCGATCCAATCACTGTGCACTAACCGTTCCAGTCACTGTGCTCACCGTGCACTATCCGATCCAATCACTGTGCACTAACCGTTCCAGTCACTGTGCTCACCGTGCACTATCCGATCCAATCACTGTGCACTAACCGTTCCAGTCACTGTGCTCACCGTGCACTATCCGATCCAATCACTGTGCACTAACCGTTCCAGTCACTGTGCTCACCGTGCACTATCCGATCCAATCACTGTGCACTAACCGTTCCAGTCACTGTGCTCACCGTGCACTATCCGATCCAATCACTGTGCACTAACCGTTCCAGTCACTGTGCTCACCGTGCACTATCCGATCCAATCACTGTGCACTAACCGTTCCAGTCACTGTGCTCACCGTGCACTATCCGATCCAATCACTGTGCACTAACCGTTCCAGTCACTGTGCTCACCGTGCACTATCCGATCCAGTCACTGTGCACTAACCGTTCCAGTCACTGTGCTCACCGTGCACTATCCGATCCAGTCACTGTGCACTAACCGTTCCAGTCACTGTGCTCACCGTGCACTATCCGATCCAGTCACTGTGCACTAACCGTTCCAGTCACTGTGCTCACCGTGCACTATCCGATCCAGTCACTGTGCACTAACCGTTCCAGTCACTGTGCTCACCGTGCACTATCCGATCCAGTCACTGTGCACTAACCGTTCCAGTCACTGTGCTCACCGTGCACTATCCGATCCAGTCACTGTGCACTAACCGTTCCAGTCACTGTGCTCACCGTGCACTATCCGATCCAGTCACTGTGCACTATCCGATCCAGTCACTGTGCTCACTGTGCACTATCCGATGCGGCTGGATGTTGGGTTCTGGCTGAGATGCAGGAACGGTGGGGAAGGCAGGGAGGCTGGTGTTCCCAGAGAAGCCTAGGGCCGGCTGGATCCTGCAAATCCACACAGGGCGTGGCCCCTGGAGCCGCTCTCTGGCTGGGGTTCTCCCCTCCCCATGCTGTGAGAACGCCACGGCCCAGCTGGGCCTCAGCAGCTGGTTTCTGCCAAGCCAGGGCCGGCACGAGGGGCCAGCGAGCGTGAAGTTGCTCGTGGCCTCACCTCAGAGTGGGCCCCACAGCGCTAAGCTGCTCAGAGTTCGTGGCAGCCGACCTGGTGAAGGTTGGGGCCCTGGGTTTCGGCCCCACGTGGCAGGGCTTTGACTTTATGCCTGAAGCCAGCCCTGGGTGTCAGACCTTGGAAACCAGAGCCCTGGCTGAGAACTGCTGCTCCAGGCACCTTCCTTCTGCCTTGCTCTTCATTCGTCCTAGGGGAGCACCCAGCATGGGCAAGACTCCTTGGGTAGGCCCCGGGGGCACTAGCCCTCAGCTCCGTGGGGAGCTGGGCCCCGGAACGCCGGCAGGGCTGTCCAGGGTGAGTCTGGGTGGGGGCAAGCCAGGGGGGGGGCTCTGCGTGGTCTCTGGGAGGCTGCGGTGAGCTCTCCCCACTTGGGCGATGGGCCCGCTTTCAGTTGTTGCCTCAACTGCCTGGTGCCCAAACGGCCAGCTCCAAGTCATTCAGAATGTCGGTGCGTGGCGGCGGGCGATGGCCTCAGGGTCCCCAGCTCTAGGTGTCTGCAGGCCTCAGGCTGCAGGCCCCTGTGAGCAGGGTTTGGGGGGGGGGCTCTTTGCCCCAGACTTGGGGTGAGGGAGAAGGGGTCTGCCGGCCACGTCTGCGTTTGTGGCTTCAGCCGGAAAAGAATCTCTGCCTGTTTCTGGAACATGTCCGTGGGCAGGCCCCGGGGAGGGTTTCCGGCTGTGGGGCATCGTGCTGGGGAGGGTTCTGAGGTGGGAGGCTGTGCCGTGTTCCGCACGGGACGGCAGGGACTCGGGCTCTCAGCGCTGGTCACGTTGGCTCTGGGCAGAGATTTCTGCAGATAGGCTCTGGGACAGGCCTGCAGCTTCTGCGCGTGTGCGACATGGGCGCTGGCCAGGGCTGCCGGGTGTCCGGGTCTGAACCGGACAGTCCAGTATTTGAGCCTTCTGGTCAGGAAACAAATGGGGACAATAGAATTGAGACAATAGAACTGTCAGGTGTTTTCTATCTCAGACGGGATGTCGATTGTGATGTCATGGCAAGTGTGTCCGTTTTTTTTGTCGGAATCCTCTGACACCCCTGGCGCTGGCCCTGCATTCGAGGTGCCCGTGTCCGGCAGAGCAGGCAGTGGCACCAGTCAGTGCCTGCGAGTGGCATGTGCACCTGTGGCTGGCACCGACTCCGGCGCGGGGCTAGATTTGCCAGCGATTCTCCACTGCCCCGTTTGTCGCTGCAGGGACCCGGGAAGCGGCCTTTGTGTACGCCATCTCCTCGGCGGGCGTGGCCTTCGCCGTGACGCGGGCCTGCAGCAGTGGGGAGCTGGAGAAGTGTGGCTGCGATCGGACTGTGCATGGGGTCAGTCCCCAGGGTAAGTGGAGGGGCCAGTGGCCGGGGGCCTCCCTGGGCTAAACTCAGAATTGCACCCGATCCCTGGGCTCCTGCCCGCCAGCTAGAGGGGACAAAGGAACCAGCCCCCGGCCCTTTGCGAGGGGACAGGCGGGCAGCTCCACGTGTGTCTGGCTGCTCCTCAGCTGCTTCCACATTTTCAGCTGACCTGGAGTGGGGGGAAGCCGCACAGTGTAGGGGGCTGGTTAGCGTGTGCCTGGGCTCTGTCTGGCGCCCCATGGGAGGGACCCACATACTGCTGAACACACTCCCTAGCCCTGCAGGTGCCTCTAGGCCGCGGGACTCCGCCCTGCAGTCTGCGTGTGCACCGCACGGCCAGCGTGCTGTGTGCGCCCCGACAGATGTCATCACACGGCCAGCAGCTCCCAGGCGGATCCCGGGGGGCTTAGCGTGTGCCTGGGCTCTGTCTGGCGCCCCATGGGAGGGACCCACATACTGCTGAACACACTCCCTAGCCCTGCAGGTGCCTCTAGGCCGCGGGACTCCGCCCTGCAGTCTGCGTGTGCACCGCACGGCCAGCGTGCTGTGTGCGCCCCGACAGATGTCATCACACGGCCAGCAGCTCCCAGGCGGATCCCGGGGGGCTGAGGGGAAGGTCCCCGCCCCCAGGCCACATGGCAGGCTGGCCGCAGAGAAGACACCGATCGGAGATTGTCGTTGTGCCACGCGAGTACAACCGCACGGTGGTTTTCCTGGGTCCCCAACGTTTGCGGGGGCTCTTGGAGGGGGGTTGCTAATCCCCCTTCCCTAGAGGGCAGAGCACTCACTGCTCCCCAGGAAGTCCTGTCGTTGGACACTGGAGATGACGGCCGCCGGGCAGTGTGGACACAAGGGGGACAGGAAGAGGCAGCTCCTCTGAGGCTAGACTGCAGGGTTGGCGGGAGAGGGCAGGCCGGGGAGCCGGCACATCGCCCTTGCCTCCTGCTCCACCCGCCCTGACCGCTTTCCAATCCCTGCCGTGCTCCAGACAACATCGCCTACGGCGTGGCCTTCTCACAGTCCTTCGTGGATGTCCGGGAGAGGAGCAAAGGCGCCTCCTCCAGCCGGGCGCTCATGAACCTCCACAATAACGAGGCTGGCAGGAAGGTAACAGCTCCGCAGGACACCGCCTGTAGCCACTGCCCGAGCTCCATTCCCCGTCCGGGAATCGTGGAACCCTCGAACTGGAAGGGACCTCGAGGGGCATCGAGTCCAGTCCCTGCCCTCACGGCACCAATTCTAGGTCATCCCTGACCGGTCCAACCTGCTCTCAGAGATCTCCAGCGACGGGGATTCCACAACCTCCCTGGGCAACGTATTAGGAAGTTTTTCCTAATGTCCAACCGAAACCTCCCTTGCTGCAGTTTAAGCCCATTGATCCTTGCCCTGTACCCAGAGCCCCAGGAGAACAATATCCCCTCCCCCCCCGTGACGCCCTGTTAGATACCCGAAAGCCACTATTCGTCCCCTGTGCCTTGCTCCCCGAGTCCTTGCTCACGGCCCCGTCTCTTCCCCACCCATCCCCGCAGTGACTGACCCCGCCCATCCCTGGCACGGCGCCCTCACGGGACTCTCCTTTCTTTCAGGCTATCCTGAGCAACATGCGGGTGGAGTGCAAATGCCACGGGGTGTCGGGCTCGTGCGAGGTGAAGACCTGCTGGAAAGCGATGCCACCCTTCCGCAAAGTGGGCAACGTGCTAAAGGAGAAATTTGACGGGGCCACGGAGGTGGAGCAGAGAAAGGTCGGCTCCACCAAAGTGCTGGTGCCGAAAAACTCCCAGTTCAAACCACACACGGATGAGGACCTGGTCTACCTGGACTCCAGCCCGGACTTCTGTGACCACGACCTCAAGAACGGGGTCCTGGGGACCAGCGGCCGACACTGCAACAAAACCTCCAAAGCAATCGACGGCTGCGAGCTGATGTGCTGCGGGAGGGGCTTCCACACGGAGGAGGTGGAGGTGGTGGAGAGGTGCAGTTGCAAGTTCCACTGGTGCTGCTTTGTCAAATGCAAACAGTGCCACCGCGTGGTGGAAATGCACACGTGCCGGTGAGGCTGGGCTGGTGGCTCCCATCTGTCCCCTCTGGGGCTGAGGGCCTGTGGCCCCCGGGCCGGAGGAGATGACCCAGCCACGGCAGGAGAGGCTGGTGGAGTGCGAGAGAAAGACACGGAGCGTTCCGGCCGCGAGGGTCGTACTCGGCCTGCTTTATTTATTGCCGAAGCCAGAGCCCTCCTGCATGGCGTGTGCTGGGAGGGTCGCGCGTGCGCGCCGTGCTGCTGCCGGGCCGGGAACGGGACCTGCCTCCAGCGGACAACCCCCGAGTGGCCACCGGAGCGTTCTGAGCGGAGTGGCCGTGAAACGGACCCCGGCCCGGGCGCCAGGCACCTTTCCGCTGGCATTTTCCATTCAGCCCCTTCAGACTGAAAACAGACCCTGAGGGGCCAGAGCCTTTGTTCTCCCGTTGGCTTGTGCTGCCCCACGCGCCGGCAGAGGAGAGAGGGCAGAGCTGTCCTGGGACCGGGCTTCCAATGGTGGGAAGGACCCTGCGAGCGGGATGGTCCCAGCCCCCGGCCTTTCCCCCCTTGTTATTATGGGCTGGGCTCTGCCCGCAAGGGGTCAGGAGAACAGAGGCCCGGCTGCTTCAGCAGAGCCCCCTGGAGCCAGGCGCCGAGGTGACGTGGATGTGCCTGTGTGGACGGTTCCTCGTTCAGGGCCCACCACCCCGGGGCACTGCTGGACAGCCCCCCCCC